GCATCCGGCCCCCATTCAAACCTTGCCTTTTTCTTAATTGCCTGGAAAAAGTATAGGCATTTGTCGCCTGATCGGCTTAGGAATCTCCCCAAGGCCGCCAGACAACCTGTTAACTTCTGAACCTCTCGGATGGTACGAGGCGACTGCATGTCAATGACCGCCTGCACCTTCTCAGGGTTCGCCTCTATTCCTCTCTGATTGATAAGGAATCCGAGAAATTTCCCAGACTCAACTCCAAATACACATTTCTTGGGATTGAGCATGACATGGTGCCGCCTGAGTGTGGCGAAAGTTTCTCGGAGGTCCGTCAGATGATCTTTCTGAAGTTTAGTCTTGACAATCATATCATCAATATATGCCTCGACGTTTCTCCCAATCTGATCAAAGAACACTGTGTTTATCATTCGTTGGAAGGTAGCCGGGGCATTCTTAAGACCAAACGGCATGACCGTGTAACAGTATAACCCCTGATCAGTGACGAAGGCCGTCTTCTCCTGATCTTTCTTCCATAAGGGAATTTGATGGAAACCAGAATAGGCGTCCATAAAACTCATCAAGGCATGACCCGCTGTTGAGTCGACCAGGTTATCAATGTTAGGCAGAGGGTAACTGTCTTTGGGGCACGCCTTGTTTAAGTCTGTGTAGTCTACACACATTCGCCAGGTGCCATTCGGCTTTTTAACAAGCACCACATTTGCAACCCAGTCTGGGAAGTAACATTGCCGAATGAACCCTGCATCAAGTAATTTTTTAACTTCGGCGGCTGCCGCCTGACTTCTTTCTTCGCCATGGTTCCGCTTCTTTTGTCGTACCGGCTTCTTTTTCGGATCCACAGCGAGTTTATGTACTGCCAGATCAGGACTAATGCCTGGCATTTCATGGACTTCAAATGCAAAGATGTCCTTGTATTCTTTCAATAGGTTGTGAAAGTCGTCACCAAGGTTTCTCAGAGCAGTCGTCCCAACTTTGACTGTTCGGTCAGGACGTGAGTCGTCTAAGATCAGGTCCGCATGCTCACCAGCCGGCTGAGGGCGGAACTCATCCGGCCGCTCCTCTGCCAATGATTGCTATTTTCTTGCTTTTCTTGCGGACTCTGTCTGGGACGCCTTTCTCTTTTTGTCGCCTGTTTCTTGAACAGGCGCACTCTCCTTGACATTGTCAAGGTCTGTTTTTTCTCCACTTGACCCAGTGGCCATAACAGTGGGCTTGACATCCGAGAGATAGCACTCTCGGGCCATCCTCTGATCTCCCCTTAGGGAGCCGACTGTTCCATTATCCCTCTCAAACTTAAGAAGCATAAGAGACGGGATTATAACAGCCTTGGAATTATTCAGGGTTGGTCGACCCAGAATCATGTTGTAGGCCGAGAGTTCCTCTACTACTAGGAACCGGACTACCATGTGTCGTCCTTCCCCTTTTTCGCCCAGGCGAATGGGTAAATCTACTCGTCCCAGTGGGTGGACGACTCCTCCTCCAAACCCTATTAAAGGGTGGGAGGCCGGATGTATGCAGTCCGTCTGATATTTCAGTTTTGACAGACATTTGCTACTGATGAGATATGAGGAGCTCCCGGTATCTATGAGGATTCGGCCAACTCTCTGGTTGGCCACTTTACATTCAATAACGAGAGGGTCGTCATGCGGCCCCCTTACCCCTCCTAGATCCTCTTCAGTGATGACAATCTCAGGAAATGTATATTTGGACGGCCGTTCTTGGTGAACGGAATTTACATCTAACCGCCTTATATTATCTTTGTTGCCCCAAATAGTGGGGCCGCCTCCTGAGAAGCCGCCTGCAATGGTGTAGACGACTGCATCATCTGTATCGGAACTGTCGGCCTGTTGATTCTTTTTGGCCGACTGCCTTTTTGAGGAAGTGTTCCCCGTAGATTTCTTGACATAAGTGTCAAGATCACCTTGCTCAGCCAAGCGGTCTAGGTACCGCATGAGACTGATGCAGTCATTGGTGTGATGACCAACGTCATCATGATAAGCACAGATTTTGTCTTGGTTCCGGTTGTTTGCAGAACCCTTCATGGGGACCGGCTTCTCAATTGAGAACCGTCCCTTTATTTCTTTTAGGATAAACTGGTTATCCTTGTTAAACACATACTTTGGGGAGTATGGTTTGAATTCTTTTTTCTTTTTCTGGGCCGGCTGTTTAGAGGAATCAACCGCCCAGACCTCTTTTCTTTTCTCATCTTTGTTAGACGACTGAGACTGTCGTCCTTCTCTTTTGTCGAACCTTTTCCCGTCCGACTGTTTTATCGTACACAGATCAGTCGCCTGTATATAGGCTTCTGCTTCAATCAAGGCCTCTTGAAGAGTCGCCACCCTTTTTCGAACTAAATCAAATTTGAAGGTAGACCCGTCTTTGAGACCTCTAAAAAAGTCAGTATAAGCTACCTCATCCGGTAACCCTTGAATCTGTATTCTCATCAGGTTGAACCGCCTGATGTAAGAACGAAGCCCCTCCTTCTCGCCCTGCTGAATTGTTCCCAAATCAAGGGTCGTTTTCTTCGCAGGGATGTTCATGGCGAAGTTGGAGGCAAATAAGTAAGCAAGCGTCCTGAAGCTGTTTACACAACCAGTCGGCAGGTTGCCGAACCATTGCTGTGCGATTCCCTTGAGAGTCGCTGGGAAACACTTGCACCAAGTGGGATCATCCAACCCTTGAAGGTACATCAGGTTGGTGAATGCCATCAGATGGTCTTCTGGGTTAGTAGTGCCGTCATAGGCGCCTACTAGTACATTTTTTACTTTGGCCGGCTGAGCGGCTTCAGTAATTTCCTTGGAGAAGGCCGACGGCTGTTCACCAAGTCTAAGCAACCGTAGCTGCCAGTCCATAGGTTGGACGTTTTTTGCTGCAGGTCCACCAAATGGAGGTGGCTGCATAAAATACTGTTGTTGCGGCACAAATGGTAAGTTTGGTACCGCCTGGGCACTATGAAAGCCGGACTGACGGGAGGTGCCGCCTGACTGACTCTCATGGTACGACTGAGTATGCCTCATCGAGGCATTTCGCAAACTGTCTTGAAAATTTGAAGTAGAAGCCGACTCTGACAATCGGTCACTCTTCTTCTGCTCTAGCAGTAGCCGAGCATCTGTGAACGTTTGCTTTGACCCGTCCGCCTGAATATGACGAACCGGTTTCCTATTTCCCGTAGGATAACGGAATTTTGTGAAATCAAGAGCAGGTGGCTCCCGCTTCTTGGATTTAGGATGAGGAGTCGCCTCTCGCCCTTGAACTGGCTTCCTCTTCAGTGAAGTGGAAGGTTTTTTGGCCGACTGCTCTTTGACTGAAGCAGGCGGCTTTTTGTTGATCAACTCTTGAATCTCTCCCTTGAAGTCCCTCATGAAGGTCATGAGTTCGTTCCTTGTGATGGGAGCAGACCCATCAGTCGGCTGTTGCCGAGCAGGCGGTGCGCCTGCTGGCTCGCTTCCTGTTTGAAGATGCTCCCGTTCCCTCCTTTCGGTATGACGGGTACGTCGGGCCCTTAGGGTCCCGTCTGGAGCTGTATGAGTTTCCACTTCAAATTCACTTTCGGTGTCATGGTCCGACTGAACTTGAGGGTCGTTTAGGGGACGCCTCTCTTCAGGAGTCGGTACAAACTTGGATGCCATCTCTGAAGTACTCTCCCCACAGACGGCGCCAAATGTTTCGGGGTTTTCTGATGTCCTGCGGGAGAGTTACAATTCCGAGACTGGAACCGGACGCCTGTACCTGCAAAATAACGGAGACTCCTGAGAGCTCCGCCTCCAACGGTCAAGTTAGTACCTGATTAAGGAGTAATTAATACGGAAATTAAAGTAATAAGACCTCTCTAGGTGAGAGTGTTTAATGTTGGTAATCTGCTTTGTTAGCGAGATTAGCCGGTTATTAGTGTTCCGTAATGTTTCTGTCCTTCTCTGTTCTTCAGGTGAGGTTAATTGCTTGATCAATTGCCTCTCAATTGCTTGATCCCTTTTAATGAGGATTAATTAAGTATTTATAGTCTTGAGAAGCGTGCCACTCTCTAGGTTTAGGGTAAACCTAGGGCTGACCGGGCCTCTAGACAGGATTGGGCCTTGTTGGCCGGTTTTCCCATTTGGCATGGGTGGACACGTGGCGTGCCTCGATTGGTCCGTAGAGGACGTATCTGTGATTGACACGTGGCAGGGTCCTATTGGCCTTCGTGAAGGACACGTGGCGGAACCTGGTTGGTCCACTTGTCAGACGGTGATTGGTGGATAAAAATCCCCTAATCACTTACCATTCTATCAAAAATATTAATAAGGATCTTTGTTATGGAATTAATGTAACTTGGGGCATCACCCGACCTAAAAACTAGTTGTTTATGTAAAACTTGAAACATTTTTGGATATTTAAAGGAAGTTATTATTATCAGTTATTGATTAACAAAATATTTTCTCATGTAAACTCTTTATATTGGTTGACTCAAACCTAGAAATATTTTTGTCATGGACTATAGAAATGGTAATTGGATTATGTACTTGTATGTAGTTTTGTGTTTATTTCGAGATATAACTCTTTCAAAAACGATTGTTTGTCTAATTTAAGATGGCTTCGTGCCGGTGATATGTCGAGTTTACGATGGTGGAATACATTAGAACTTAAAATGGTATTATTTTCCCCACATTTCAAATGCAATTGGACTTATGAAGATGCAACTTGCATGAATGATGTGGCATCAACATATTTTTAGGGACAGTGTCTTAATTCTTAGGATCCTAGACTTAATTTGGTTCTAAATTATGCTTGAATTGCATAGCATTGAACCTATTTTTATCAAAATTAATATTATTTGAAATTATCAACGTTTATCTAAAAGTTTGAGAACTAACTTTTCCTAAATGAATTAAGTATATCTAAATGCATAAGAGAAGTTCAAGAAAATTAAGTTTGTATAGGCTTTGATAAGCGTTAATAGATGCTACACACTTCAAATTCCAATTAAACAAGTTACGAATTTAGTCTAATTAGTTTAAATAACTCAAAATCAGGTGAATTGAACACACCATATAAGTGGTAACAAGGTGAATGGAATTTAGAGTTAGGTTTTAAATGTATAATTTGACGTTTGTCTTGAAAGCTTGATCAAATGCATTCTCATTCTCTTCCTTCAAAAATGAACATAGTGGTCCCACAATTTTTCTCTCTTATCGCTCCTCGAATGATTTTGATGACTAGTGTATCCCATACATGAAAAGCGGTAATTTGATGCATGTTTTCACGGTCATATAAAAACATTATAATATGTTTTAAATTCTTAAAAGTTTCTCCGTTTAACATAGCCTACAGACACAAAGTTTCTCACTCATTTTTTTTTAATTAATGTTAATGTTCAAGTTGTTACTCCGCGTGATTCTATTTCTTTTTATTTTATTTATTTTTTATTTATAGGAAATTCTATTTTTCATTTACCCTCCTATATTCCCTTAATTATTTGCTATCGGTATAATGTATTAATGTTGCAATTATTTTGAAATAAGCCAACGAAGTTTTTTAAAAGAAACTTTTTTGAGATTGAGTGATGATTTTGTCGGGGCTTGACCTGTGTTTGACAAACATGTTTTTTGTCAAGCATAGGCATACTCTTTTCACCTTTTTTTTATTATTGTTTTTAATTTTTATTTAATCAGGTATATCATGCGCAACTGCACGTATTAGGCGTTATATTTTGGCACAGCCGTTGTTGGGGCTAATGGGCTATTACAAATTCATAATTTTTCCACCCTTTCCCAAATTGGAAATAATCCGCGTACTATTCATGGCGCTAAGAGTCTTACAACGCTGCCGGAAAAACATAGCTTACCTGAACCAATTCTTTCCGTCTAAATTTGCACAAACTATCAAATTCATACACACCGAAACTTTAGTAAGCCATCTTAAGAACTGCTCTAATTTTCCAGCTCTACAATCCCTTCAAGCCTCCATGATCAAATCAGATAATATTGGAGATTGTTATGTAATGACCCAATTTATCAGCGTTTGTTCTTCCCTTAATCAGATAGATTATGCAAAATTAGCTGTTACCCAGATGAAATTTCCTAATGTTTTTGTGTATAATTCATTGATTAGAGGTGTAATTGATTGGGGAAGACCAATTCAAGCTTTGAAATTATACAAGAAAATGTTGAGAACTTCAATTTACCCAACTAGTTATACTTTATCGCCATTAATTAAGGCTTGTGGTCAAGTGTTTGATTTGAAAACTGGGGAATGTGTTCATTGTCATGCTTGGAAAATGGGGTTTGAAGCTCATGTGTTTGTGTTGACTGCATTGGTTGTTTTTTATGGGAAACTTGGTAAGCTTGTTGAAGCACGGAAGGTGTTCGATGAAATGCCTGACAGAGATACTTTTGCGTGGAGTACTATTGTATCGGTTCATGCTCGGGGTGGAGATATGGCTTCTGCGACTAACTTGTTTAATGGGATGCCTCGGAGGAATGCTACTGCCTGGAATACTATGATTGATGGGTACGCGAGGCTAGGGAGTGTTCAGGCTGCGGAGTTGTTGTTTGATCAGATGTCTGAAAAGGATTTGGTTTCGTGGACTACTATGATCGCGTGTTATACTCAGAACAAAGAATACAAAAAGGCGTTGGCTGCCTATGATGAGATGCTGAAGAATGGGATCTGCCCTGATAAGAGGACATTAGCAACAGTAGTTTCATGCTGTGCACATCTAGGAGCTCTTGATTTAGGGAGGAAGATTCATTTCTATATTGTACGAGAGGGGTTTTTACTCGATGTTTATGTTGGGTCTGCGTTGGTAGACATGTATGCCAAGTGTGGGAAATTAGAAAGAGCACTTGTCGTCTTTTTAAACTTAAGGGAGAAAAATCTCTATTGTTGGAATTCAATCATTGAAGGGCTTGCTGCTCATGGGGATGGAAAATCAGCGATTGCAATGTTTGATAAAATGGTAGAGGAGAATGTTAAGCCTAATGGGGTAACTTTTATTAGTCTTCTTAGTGCATGCACTCATGCAGGGCTAGTCGAAGAAGGCCGTAAGATATTCCAAAGCATGATTAATGATTTTCAAATTTGTCCAGAGTTAAAGCATTATGGATGCATGGTTGATCTACTATGCAAAGCTAAGTTGCTTGAAGATGCACTAGAACTGATTGGAAGTATGAAAATTGAACCAAATTCAGTTATCTGGGGTGCCCTATTAAGTGGTTCTAAGCTATGTCAGAACTTAGATATCGCTGAACTAGCAGTCAGTAAGCTAATGGATTTGGAGCCTGATAATTGTGGTTACTATAGCCTGCTACTTAGCATGTATTCTGAAGCAAGAAGATGGGAAGAGGTTAAAAAAATTAGGGCTTTGATGAGGGAACAAGGTATAGAGAAATGTTTTCCTGGATCTAGTTGGATTGAATTGGAAAATGAATTGCATCAGTTCGTTGCTGCTGATACATCTCATCCTGCATCCAGTGAAATATGTATTTTGCTGGATGATTTGTATGGACAGCTGAAGCCTGCATGTGCATCTTTCTGAACATAACCGAGTATTTGATCAAATTTGCATACATTTCATTGCAAAAACATCTTCTAGTGAGGATCACTTGCCAGTGTTAGTTGCCACCCCCTAATTAGATAAATACAGTTTGAGTAAACCTTTCTTGGGTTAACCTCAATTTTGTGTTTTCATAAAGCAGGTGATGGAATAAACAAAACTCAATAAGAGTTGTAGAACACTCAGCGAGAGTAAGCTCCTTGTACACAGCTGATTTTGGGTCTGCATGAAGGAGTAGGTGAAAATATAAAATTAACTTATCAGAAATCTAATGCAGAATGGTTTGGCATCTATCTTCTAAATTCTTGTGTGCAAGCTCGGTGATTTTTCGTTAATGACTAAATTTACAACAAAGAGGGAGATGGTCGTCTGGTATATATATATATATATTTTTTTTTTTACAAAAAAAACCAACTCCTAAAGATTGCAGTCTGCGGATTCAGAGAGCAGGAGAGGCCTGGTGTACTTACCAGCGACTGTGATTTGTCCTCAGATTTGAGTTTGATAGCTAAGTAGGCTGGAAAAAAGGAAGATGGACAAACCAAAACCTAAGGAAAGTGCAAACTACGCCACCCATGCTCAACGTTGCTAACTTTATCTAAAAGTTGGAAAAGCAGGAGTCCTGCAGAGATGGTAACTCTTTGTTATATTGGCTTAACTCTTGTTTCATTCATAATATTGCAGCAGATTAAGTAGGAAGAATAAACTAATAGACAGCTCTCTCTCATACATTCCTTAATTGATCCATCACTGGACTTCAAAATTTCAAAATCAAAGTTTGAAGCAATATTGTTGATGACATGTACATTTGTTAATTATGCTGAAAAGAAATGCTGATATGTTAGTTGTTGCATTGTTGGTTGTGAAAACAGCAGCTGTTACTAGATGGTATTGTGTGATATGTGGTACTGGTCATGCTTGATCTAAAGCTTCCCCTAACCCCACGCCCATAAATTCATGTCAGATTGCAGGCTTGTGTTCATTTTTTTGAATCATTTTTTTTTTTCCCTCTCTTTGCAACTTACATGTTATTGTGCTTATGTTGCTGCAAGATTACAGATTACTTTGGTTGATGCCAGTTTTGATTAGGAGTTCCGGTGCATAGAGTTCTCTTTTCCAATTATTTGGTTCAAACATCAATACCTGCAAAGTACAAATTACATGACAAATTGACAGATTGGCCAGATTTTGCAGGGTTGATTGCCTGGTGGATGAAGGCAGCTTGGGCCTTGGGAGGACTGTAAATCTTTAACTCTTGCTCCAATCTATTTAAGCCTTTAAGGTGCAAAAGATTTCAAACATATGTGCTGCTCATTGTTCGTTATTAACCTAAACTTTTGCAATATGTTGCTCTTTAATCTCTGCTCATTTACATTAGTAGTAGTTGTAAGACCAACTAATGCATAAACTTTGTTACTTGGATCCCAATTTTCTTCCCAAAAGCAAACTCAAGCTGATGGTTTTGTTTGTGTAGAGTAGAGGTGTGGTGCTGTAGACGGTGGCTTGACTACCAGTAACTCAGTAAGTGGTTGTGGAGCATTCGTTGGCTTGTGGTGCTTCATAGTTGCAGTTGTGTAGGCTACTAAAAGATGAAATGAGCAAGGACATATTAAGTGGAGGTTGCTACATCTTTGTATGTTTAGATATTGGGTGGCAACCGTGAAGTTGAAATCTAATTATCTAACTCACTTATTATACGAAATTATTTATATTAAGATAGGATATTTTAAATTCAAATCCGAATTAGTTGGAGCCTAATAAGACTATTGCACGCTTTTGCTCAATTTCAGACGCTAAGCAAAATTAGCCTTGGGCTTGGCATCTAGCAATGTGTTCAAACCTAATTCTAGCCACCCATGAGAAGCAATTACTAATAACCGTCGATCAAAACATAAAATATCATAAAATATCAATCAACAACCGAAATACAGGGGCACGATCGTCAACTTCCCCTAAAAAAACTTCCCCTTTATCCAAAAACAAACACTCCAAACACCACCCTTGACCCCATCCCACGTCACTTTCTCTCTCCTCAAAAAACCCCTCTTTCAATGGCGATGTCACGACCCTCCCAACCACCTCCGCCGCCGCAACAACCACCGCCGGCAGTCCGATTAAACCTCGAAATCACCATTATCTCCGGCAAACACCTCAAAAATGTCAACTGGAAAAACGGCGATCTCAAACCCTACGCCATTTTCTGGGTCGACCCGGATAACAAACTCACCACCAAATCCGATGATTCCGGTAATACCAAACCCGTTTGGAACCAGCGATTCCTCTTACCCATAACTTCCCCTCTTTCCGACGCTTTTCTCTCTCTTGAAATCTTCCATTCAAAAGCGTCGGAAACCCCTAAACCTTTTGTGGGTTCTCTTCAAGTTCGTCTTTCTACCCTACCCGAACCCGATAACCGGAATATTATTCGGACATACAACGTTCTCCGACCTTCTGGTCGCCCCGATGGTAAGATCCGATTAAAGCTTGCGATAAAGGATCAAGCTTTACCTCAGCAACCTCAACCTCATAGTGGGTTGGAGTATGATTACCAAACTACCCCTCATCCTGGGTATTATTACTCTTCTGCCCCTCCTTATCCGTACAGTAGCTCCAGGTCAGCATCCCCTGCTCCTCCACCGCCTCCTACGGCGTTTCCGTACTCTATGGGGTACTACTCGGGGTACTTCCCTCAAAGTGGGGTCAGGTCTTATGGGGCACCGTCTGCTCCGGTTGATTACAGTCCTTATGAGCAGAGGACGAGGACAAGTGGCGGTTTCGGGCTCGGTACCGGGTTAGCTGTTGGTGCGGTTGCTGGGGCGCTTGGTGGGATTGCATTGGATGAAGGGTTTAAGTATGAGCAAGAGAAGATTGCTGAGAGGGTTGATGAGAATTATCTGCCAAAAAATGATTTTAGTGATTACCGTGGTGAATATTAGTGTGCAGGGATAGTTATGGCATGATGACTCTATACAGTTTGGGGGGTAAGCTTGCTTGTTGTTCATGGCTGTGTTTAATCAGCTGGTTATTGTGGTTTTATTGCTTTGATTATGTTTTATTAAACAGTTTGAAGGCCTTTGTGGAATAATTAAGTGTATATTGTACATAGTTCTACTTCTACTTGACTTGTTTAAATGGTAATGTTAACCATAGAATTCCTGTTTTTATGATTTGATACTCTTTAATGTATGACCGAGTTTCAGTATTTCACATGTTATAAGAATTGATTGATGGATCATATGCTGTAGCCCTGCCACTATTAAAATGTATGTTGGATAATGTTGGGTGTGGAGAATGGTTATGTTTTAGGTGCAGAAGGATGCTTTCATTACTCTATTTTGCTCGTTAGGCATGGTATAATCGGTTTAGCAATGCAATGCGTTGATTATAAATGTTGGTCAGGAGCATCTAGTGGCTAGGGTTATATACATAAGGAGCTCAAGTTGTTTTGTGTTTATTATGGGATTTGTCAAAAACTCAAAAGTATTGAGTGATTTAGTCAATATTAACAAAATGATCATGGTGAGAATAATGTTCTAACCGCATAAGGATGGTTCTTGTATGAGTTAGTTCTCTTAGTCGTCTCTTGGTGGAATGGTAGTTGATGTTATGAGAGCCTGTGTGTGCTGTACTCTTCCTCTTGGTATGGATAAAATGCATGGGGCAAAAAGTATTGCCTTATGTATTAGCTTCCAAGCAGTACTCCACTGCATCAGCATTGATAGGAAAGTTGATGAAGGGAAGGGACCTGTGTTATCAGGAGATGCTTCTATTGAAACTGGTCTGATTGAGTCATTCTTGTGAGGGTAGAGTAGAAAAGACTCTGCAAAACCATGTAGGATATGTGTATTGGCCTTGTCTGGAGAGAGATGGAAATGGACTTAAGAGTGGGTCTTTCTTAAGTACAGAATTCAAGAGAGAACCTGCAGTATAGCTTTGTACATGGGCTGTTTCAGTTGTTCCAAGGGAAGTAGAGTAAATCAGAGAGTTAGTGGTGAAGTTGGACATGTGGTTTGTCTATGTTTGCTGGTGAATGTTTAACAAAATGCTTAACACGTGTTGAATGAAGGGCTTACATTCCTCTCATTTCTCGGGTTTGGCCCTTTTTCTTTTTGTGTCCCACTTTCACTAGAGAATTTTAGCACCAAAGTATAGACTAGCTGTATTATTTTTTTTCCTTTTTTTTTTTTTTTTTGAGCAAAGATTGATTCATAAATTAAAAGTCATACGAAATCTACAAAGAGATTTTTATGTATCAAATACATGACAATTGAATCAAATAAAAACATCCTTTCAGCAAAGCTACTATCGTTGTTGCAAAGTATTATTTTTTCCCTTATTTACCACTCTTTATTAGTGGAAAATTTTAGTACCAAAGTATAGGTTATATAATTTTTTTTCCTCTTATTTACTGCTCTATATCAGCTTTCATTACTCTGCTCTCCCCATTGTTTCTTTTGTCACAACCTCTTGGTTCCTATACAAATAGCCTATACTTTGGTACCTATCTGGTGCTTGATTCTCCGATAACTAAGGCTGTATCTGTTGCAATATTACAGTGTGTTTTTCAACAAGTTCTTTAAATTTTTGATGCAGAGTATAGAACTATCATTTTTAGTGTCTTAAGTTCTCTCAAGCAGTCTGTAGTTGTTATTATCTGCTATTGATGATACATTTGAAGTATGAACTCTGCTTTGTGTGTTTTAAAACTTGTTTTGTACAATAGCTGATCTTGTCACGCCTATTTCAAGGTAGGGTTTTAATTGTGCAGCTATCTTTTTCCCAAGGTAAGAGGTTTTTGTGAACTCTTGGATTTGGATATGCCTGTGACAAGGACCTTACAGCCAAGTCAATTAACAATGGAGCTACATCTTGAAGGCTGTTCTCTGCAGTTTCCTGCTTCCTTTTCACAGTGAGTGAATAGAATTCTTTTTTGGAGTGATGTTTGAAGTGTTTAGCAAAGAATTGACCTAGTGGGCCACAACAGAGTCCTTTGTGCATGGGCAAGAGGGCAATGCTCAAAAGGTGATTTAGACTAAGCATAGGTTTATCACTTTTAAGTGCTGTATAATAATGGTAGGAAGGACCAAGTGTGGATTCAAAACGTGAAGAAACTGTAGATAGAGACTTCAGTGCAGCGATTCCATTGCCCTTTGACAAGAGGGTGATTTAATGATGGTTAGATGGACCAAGATTAGGGATGAGATTTTCCACACCTTGCCTTCTGCCTACCTCTACATATGCTGAGGACTTTTCAACTTACTGGACGGCCTGTGATAGGTGTATTCTGGTTGGTTTGTGATCTTTTAACTTATGTCCTTACCTTTTCTTTCCTAAAGAGGGGGGGGGGGGGGGGCGCTGGGAGCTATTTTGTTGTGTCATAACAGGCGGTATTTTGAGGACTCCTGAGGGGATATTAGTGATCTTGGGGACTTATAACTAGCAAGGGACCATTTTGGATGACATGAGATTTGATTTTGTACCTCCGTTATAATTTTGGAGTTTCTCAGTTTCCCAAGTAAAGTTTCTCATCAATATAAACAAAACAAGCACATCTATGAAAGTATAGAATTAAATACTGTATTCAAATTAAAAGTTTGATTGGCGGAATTTGTTTTCAATTGAAAATGTTTCTTTGTGGAAAACGTTTCTTAAGGGAAATAAACTCTTTCCATTCTTGGAAAAATGTTTCCCATCCTTGTACAAATCAACGGAGAAAAATGGAGTAGAAAACCACTTTCCTCACTAGTCGAAAAAGATGTGAAATAAGTTCGCCTCGGTGATAAACCCTAGCAGCCCTCACACTCTGTGTAAGATCTGTAACAATGAACTACTTTACACTCTATTTTTATGGTTACTTGCATTGGTGATTAGTTGATTACACATGGGGTTTGCACATTGAACTTTTGAGACACTTCACTCTCAAAAGCTATTATTGTTTACTACTCAGAGCTACTTTGTCTTGGAACTAATGAATCTTATCTGAATCTGAACTGTTTTTCTTTCATTTAATTGTTTTTATCCTTTTCTTCATTAGTATTTATCGACAAATTACCAGAGAACTTGCATTATTTTCTCTCCTCTCACCAAATGGTTGGAGTGTGGAGTTTTGCAGCTTGGTTTTGTGCATTGCTGAGGTGTCTGAATTGGCCTCTTATCTCAGCCTTATCTGTGAACTGAAACTGCTGTGAGAAACAGAATTTCATAGCTTTGTTGCATTGATTTTCCCTGTCGATATGCTAGTTACAATGTTTGGTTCTGCCTTGGATTGTGCCTTTTCTGCTTTTCTGATTAGTGATGAGATGTCGAAACAGAATACTGAGTTCCTGGCAAAATGACTCGAGGAAATGATATCAGGAACGTACCTTGTTTTGTGGTGTTTGGATCAATCTTCTTGGAAAAATCTATGTTATATTGTTATTATAGGATTGTACATGATATTTGAGGAGTCTTCAAAAGGGGGTGCAAATTAATATGACTATACGAATTATAGATTTCTGTCGAGAGTAAGTGCTTCTAGGTTGTTTTTAGACCAATGATAGATAGGACCATCCCTTCCTAGTGACCCCTTATTCGGGTTTCCACAAAATTTCTAAACCACTTTTTTCATCTTCAAATGTGTTAGACAATATTGTTTTCAATTTTTTTAAGATTTTTTTTGACACCCAAAATACCAAAGTTCTAAATGTGGACACTCTTGAAGTCTTGTCCCAACATTTTATCTTTGCAACTACTCATACGGCAATCTTGTGAAATCGAAGAGTCTCTCTACTCTTGACTCTGGAGTACGTAAAGGGGTATTATGTTACACCAATATCCAAGAGCTGTTAAAAAATCCAATCTCAATTGAAAGAGTAACCCTAATATCTTATATGGTTATGGTGGTATATATTTTTCCGGCTTGTCAGTACTCTTTATATATGCGTCTATTTATTAGGATAATCTATCTTAGTAAATAGTAACTATAGTGGTATTATTATATGTTCGTTGGTCTTCTTCCACTAAGAAGGAATATGAAATATTTCATTGAGGATATTCTTTTATGTGTTGATACTAAATTTGCGAGATTTTTATTTAATACTGGAATTGTGAACAATGAAGACTCATTAATTTTTTTTGAGGGAAATGAAGACTCATTAATTGCTTTGGAAGAAAATATCTGTGAATAGTTTAAGTTTTTTTAATGAAAGGCACAATAATTATCAGTTAATGGCATTGGCTTATTGTGCCTTTCAATCAACCATTACGTATTGGAAAAGAAACTATGTTGTGAACTAAAATTATGATCGATATAGTCTGATGACAGATGACTAACTATTGCTGAGGGTGAAATCATTTTTTTTTAACTTGGGAAAAAAAAAAAAAAAAAAATCTTTGATGACTTAAAAATTTATATGGTGATGATAATTATGAATTTTGATATTACTCGTAACTTATTATGAAATCCTATGTTATACGAAGTACATAATTATCCAAATTATGTGACTTTGAGACCGGGCAAAGAGGTAAGGAGCAACATTACTAGTGGTAGTAGGACCTATGTTCAACTAAGGTTGTCGGAATTAAAGGCCCTTTTGCAAGGTACTCCATAGTTTTTACTTCATTTGTTTGTAATTGTAATTTCGTTTTCAATACTATGAAAAAAATATCAGCAATGATCGTTGACTCTCAAGTCTTAGGCCATGTTTGGTAAATGGCTTTTTGGTGGCTTTATGGTTAGCTTTTGGCTTTTTTATGTGGTCAAACAGTCAAAAAAAAGTGTTTGGTAATTGGCTTTTCATTAAGCGAAAAAGCTGACTTTTAAGCCAAAAATATAAAAGCTGCCATGAGTAACATTTTTGTTGGCTTTTGGCTTGTTGGCCCACAAATTATCTAATAAACAGCTAACAGCCACCAACTAAATTTACCAAATACTTTTATAAGCAGCCAATTTCAAAAGTCATTATAAAGAGCCAAACATTTTAGCTGGTCAAACAAGCCAAGTGAACCAGCCAACCGCCAACAATCATTTACCAAACAGGGCCTTAGTGTCACCTTTTTTCTAAATATGATTATTAGTATTTTCTACACATTTTTTTAATTTTTTTTTTAAATAAAGGATATTGAACAATTGATATATCTAATGCTTCGTATATGAAATAACCATAATTGGCAATAGTCTTTACTATTTTTTCATAAAATTTAATATTAGTTGTATCTAACAATTTATAGTTGAGTCGAGTCCACTAATGACTAATC